GAACAGACAGTCAGACAGACAGACAGACAGACAGACAGACAGAGACAGAGAAAGGGACAGACAGACAGAGGCAACAGACAGACAGACAAACAGAGAGCGTAGTAGTCTACGCACTAACCACCAGACAAGACAGGTGATGAAAGACGTGATATTTCTACCTGTCCGCCCGTCCCCTCAAAGACTCAAAGGGCAAGAACTCTTTGATCGACACCGGCCGGGCTCGCCATGGGAGAGTGAGAGGGACTAGATTATCAACACACATCGCTTCCGACCGGACAGGGAAACACCTACAGTAAGTCAACTTTAGAATCCCCCGTTTCCCCACAATGCGTTCAAAAATCGGTATTAAAAACCAAACAAAACCAAACAAAAATCAAAAACAAAAATAAACAATTTTTAAAAAATCAGATTGGTTACAAGAAAACACAAATCATCGACCAGCCGTTCAGACACACAAGCCCCATAATTTTGAAAGTTTTAAAAACAGCACTATTGCAGTTTCTTAACCTGAGGTGCTGGCTGCATGGGACTGAGGATATTTTGCCGAAATTCAAATTTTAAATTGTGTTTAAAGAAAAGCAAGACAAGATACACAATTTCGGCGTAGTAAGAGAGAAGCAGTGCTTTTTCTGTCTTCTGAAAAGTTTCGATTTTTGGACTTAAAAGTCAGTGTTGAACGGCTTATCGATGACATGTACCTATTTGAAACAAATACAACGACACAACGACAGTGGGTACAACGACACAAAGACAGTGGGTGGTTGGCAGGTGCTTCGGTGAGGTCTGCTCTTTCTTTTCTATTGAATATCTATCATCTTTATCTCTCCTCCTCCTTTTCTTTGTACATTAAATACTCTCAGGTAACACCTCTAATCTTCGGCACGTATATTACCTGTCCTATTTTGTGCTGCAAGTGCCGTCAAACTCCTGCTAAAATAGAAGTCACCCTAAGAGACAAAGGATTATGGCACCCATGAGGAAAGCCCACCCAAAGCGGCTGCAAGGCTTCGCGTGAGTTTGTGGATCGGTCGGGCAGCAACAGAAGCGTCTCTCTCTCTCTCTCTCTCTCTCTCTCTCTCTCTCCCACCCCATTCTTTCTCTCTCTCCCTCTCCCCCTCTCTCTCTCTCCCTCTCTCTCTCTCTCTCTCACGGGAGGCCAGAGCCACACCTGAACAAAACATGCTCGCGCATGACGTCACCACACCTCCAACATCACCCTGCCACGGTGAGAGAGCAAATGGACAGAGCATGTATATCACACACACATGGTCGCTTTTAAGCACAAGGGGCTACCCCGAAAAATTAATGCTGCTTTGAGAAAATCGAAGGTAAAGTTTTTGCCTCTTGATCAGTCTCTATACAATACAAGGAGAGTTTCCTCTATAACCAAACAAATATACACGCCAATGAAACCAAACTTCTCCTGTAGGTAGGGCAATGCCCACTCTTGATGTAGGTCAAGATTTCTGCTAACCCCCAAAACCCGTGTTAGCCCGCTAGTCCTTAAAAGCGACCATATGTACCTATATGAAACAAATACAATGACAATAGGTGGTTGGCAGGTGTGCTCCGGTGTGGTTTGCTCCTTCTTTCCAATTGAACAACTATCACTGCTATCTCTCTTCGTTCTTTTCTTTGTACATTACTCTCAGGTAACATAATCTTAGGCACGTATATCATACAGAAATGGTATAGGTTTAACGCCCCTATTAACACTATTAGGTTATTTAAGGGGCGGGACCTCCTAGTTTAACGTCCGTCTCCTATAGGACCAAGCCAAGTAGGAAGTTCGTGTAAAGTGTATTTCCCAAGGACACAACGTCGGACCGAGCTGAGGCTCGAACCCCCAAACTCGCAATCTCACGATTACGTATATATATACTATTGTACTCACTCTTCTCCCCCCGCCGGTTGTTCTCCATGACCTCCACGCCAAACTGGATGAGGTCGCCTGAGTAGACCTCCCGGGCCGGGCTCTCCTCCCCGCCCTTACACAGCCGCTGGTTGTTGATGAACGTCCCGTTACTACTCTTGGTGTCCTGTAGGTAGAACTGGGGAGAGACGAGGGGACAGTGGACGTTCAGTGGAGTTGTAGACAAGAACAATTTGTTGAGTTATATACAAGAACAAGAACAATATAATAACATACATAGTTTTAGTAAGAGTTTTACGGCACTTGCAACACAATAATGTCATATAAGTGCCGAAGATTAGAGGTGTTACAAGAGAGTAACAAACACAAAAAAGGAGGGGAGATAAAGACAATAGATGTTTGATAGGAAAGAAGAAGGAGACCACACCAGAGCACCCGCCAATTACCCACACAATTAGTGGAGTTACACACAAGAACAATTAGTTATGTAATCTTTGCAAAACCATAATAGGGTTAACATCTCTTTGAACACTGCAAGGTTATTTCAGAGGCGGGATCTCTGAATTCAACGTTCATCTCCCATGGAACCAAGCTCAATGTGTGGCCAGACTTAAAAACTCCGAGCAACAACCCAAATTCTGAACGCCTCATTGAGGATTCAAACCAGGCCGATCCACCCTGTAAGTGGTAGAGCACAATACCAACTGAGCCCAGGGGGAACGCCCCTGGTTATGTAACCTACAAGAACAAACAACGAGCGTCACACACGAGAGAAAGTTGTAAAGTAATACACAGGAACATTGGGACGATGAAAACTGCCGTCGAGGATCACACGGGATACATTAAAAAGGAAATGCATAAATAATAACAATGATGGTGTATGGACAAGAGACAATGGAAATTATAACGAAGTTCCTGATGACGCCCACATAGTCAAAGCAAAACGCTAACCCAAGACGGAAAAAAACAACCCCAAGACAAGGATAGGTTGGGAGGAGAAAAAAAAAGGGGGGGGGGTGCAGTGGGCGTAACTGATACTGTGTTAGAACAAAACAGTACCCCCCCCCTCCCCAAACCACATATACACACACAGACATACACACACGTACTTTTTTTCTAACCTTTTGCCTTCTGACACACTTTTCCTTCCCTCAAAACAAAGGTCGGTAAATAAAGCTACGGGTTCTTCCTGCAAAGCCCATAAAACACTCACAGTTAAATCTCTTTTTTTCTCTCTCTCTTTTTTGTTACAAGGAACCCAATAAACAAATTTAAAACAAAACAAACAAAAACAACAAAACCCTTCCCGCCTAACAAGTCAGACAACACACACAGCACGCCTCCTGCTCCCACTGAGCAAACAGTCAGGAGGAATGTAACCGACCAGGCCGCTCCATCATCTCCACCACAACAAATGTCTTTAAATTAAAACACGGGAATCGCAGCAAGGTGAACCGGGCTAATAAAAAGAACTGACTTTGACGAAAAAAGGAGGAGGAGGAGACGAAGAAGATGAAGAAGAAGAAGAAGAAGAAGAAGAAGAAGAAGAAGAAGAAGAAGAAGAAGAAGAAGAAGAAGAAGAAGAAGAAGAAGAAG